TATTGAATCGAATCAGCTATCGTTAAATTTTCAAACAGTTTTGCATGGAAAAGGTCCACAATTTCTTGTTGCAGTTTAATTTTCTATATATAATAAATGTCAATCTTGTAATGAAAAAGAAACTTCGTTCAGGAGTTATATCGTAATTAAAAGGCTATTTCAGTGATTATTAAAATCAGTGTATGAAAAATGACTAAAATGTTAATTTTTAACTAATGTACATAACATACTGAAATGATGTTGTATTTATGAAATTAATAGCAAATTTAACTTCTGACTATTTATTCTCACGTGGTGGTCCCTACTTATAACCCTGATGTTTCTTATTGCTTATTAAGTATTATGAGAGATCATCTGTTAGGCTATTCCTATTTACATCTGCTTATTTATAATGAAATAAACATCTAATTCAGTTGAAAATTTGGTTCGTGCTAGGCTTATTCTTAAGGACAAGAAAAGAACCATGAATTTCAAAAAAGAACTGGAAAATTAACCGATTGAATAACATTAGGTAACTCGCAAATGTCTCATGGATATTTTTATAGAAACAAAAAGTGAGCTGGATATAAAACGATGATCGCAAATATTCTTTGTTACTCAATTCTGAAAGGGGAAAACCATTAGATTAATTGAAGATTTTTTTTACTAAACTTTTGACAAGGTAACATTAGTACTTGTACTTCGTCATATCTTTAAGAGCGCATTCAAACGAAGGTTCCTTAACATATATAGGACCTAAATGAGATGTGCTATTTAGTTTAATCAATTAATTTAATAAACGTAAAGAAATATTTGTTGCAACGATTTGTATAAGAACGATCTAAATGAAGATAAACTTATATTTTTCTAATTATATTTAAAATAAATTTTGGATAGTATGAAAGAATAAGACGCTTTCTATTTCATGAATATACCTGTGTTTGAAGCCTTGTAAGCCCGCGGATCCATAATATTTGTCCAGCTCGTGGTTTTTTGTCATCTAAAGGATCATAACGAGAATCATCACCTCCTAAATTGATCGCTTCTGTATATTCTTCAGGGTGACCTCTTCCCCATCTATTTAAGAAACAAAAAATAATCAATCGATTTTAAAATTCTAAAATAAATATGGAGATGAACGTTTATTGTGCCATTTTAGTTTCCTTTCAATTGTTGTAAATAATAAATTACAACTAAACGGTAAACAACAAACGAAAGAGTGCAAGTTTGAATAGGTACTTACGAAAGTATTTTTGGAATTTTTCTTGTAGGTATGGTAGTTACTAATTGGCCCCACAATAAGGTACCAACTCCGAAAAATAAGCACCATCCCCATTGCTCCAATGTTAAAGCTTTTGTTGAAAATGCCATTTTTCCATACTGAATAATTACAACCTGGAAGATATTTTTGATGTAATAATTTTAGAAGGAAGACAAATGAAATCTGAATTGAAGAATTATTAAACTGACCTGAGATATGCAGGTAATGATCCAAATGGAATAGAATATTGGATTCGTGAAAATTCCATTGAAAATATTTCTTTGTCCATGAATTTTTCTAGCATTAAGTTCATTGAATATTGTCATCTGGACAAATGTGTTGAAAATTATGGTGAAATGTATGCTTGGCCCTGCCCTTAATTGTGCTCCATGACCATCTGGTATATCTAAAAATCTATGTCCAGCAAATAACAGTACGAAAATTACAGTGAGCTGATAAACTGCTTGACCCAAAATATTTTTCATCATTGTTCGTGATATGAGAGGCTTAGTACGGCCATAGGGTTTACGTAAAAGCAAATCTGCTGTGGGAAGCTCAGTCGCAAGTGCTAATGATGCCAAAGTGTCCATAATTAAGTTGACCCAAAGCATTTGAACAGCTTTGAGAGGAGAATCTTCTACCGCGCATGCTCCAATAAATGCTACGATGACAGCTACTACGTTTACAGTCAATTGGAACTGTAAAAATTTGGCGATTGAGTCATAAACATTTCTTCCCCACATTACTGCTTTAACAATTGACGAGAAATTATCATCGGTAAGTATGATATCAGAAGCTTCTTTAGCCACATCAGTTCCAGCAATGCCCATAGCAAAGCCTACATCAGCTTTTTTCAAGGCTGGACCGTCATTGGTTCCATCGCCAGTTACAGCAACTACTTCTCGACTGTCACTTATTTTACTATCAATGATTCCTTTATAGATAAAAAAATAAATACATTCAACATATAATTATTATACGTGCAAATTCAATAGTTAAGGGCGGTGACAGTTATGAGAACAACTTTCATATATAAAAGGATTATGACAATAAAAAAGTTTGAATTCCTTGTTCAACTATCTACTTCTATTTTGTGTTTTAAAAGGTCCAAAAATACCTAATTCGTCCAAAAATTAAAATCCAAAATTTTGCTTACCTTTTACTAAATTATATTTATCTGTCGGAGAAGAACGAGCTAAGACTCTAAGTTTAGGCCAAACTTTGTCCAAAAGATGTTGTTGAATCTATAAAATATTAATTATTAACATGAACTAAATATGTAAATGAAAGCAGAAGTCAAATTACATCGCCATTGTTATCACGAATTCTGCGATTAAATTCTTTTCCTTCAAGTATTAAGAAATCGTCTTGGGGTCGTATAATGCCACATTTTGTTGCGATTGAACGAGCCGTATTAACATTGTCTCCGGTAACCATTCGAACTGTGATTCCAGCTTTTTGACATTTTTTAATTGCATCTGGTACTTCAGGTCTTACAGGATCTTCAATACCCACAACACAAAGACACGTCAAATTATTAACAGAGTTAGCTTCATCTTCCCAATTAGGTTCGTCATTTGGTCCTAAATGTACTTGATTAATGTCAGGTTTTCCTCTAACAAAATCTCGATAAGCAATTGATATAGTTCTTAGTCCATCACAGGCCATAGGTTCAATAACTTGATGCAACAATCTTTCTTGCATATCCCTAGTGAATTTCTCAAGACGTCCTTCATGTCCGTAAATAAAAGCACATCTGAGGAGGATGATAATAATTTTAATAAAACACTTTCCTATTGGAGTTTTGCATTGAATTTATGAAATTTTGCTACTTACTTCTTAAGAATGATTTCTGAAGCCCCTTTTGTGAATAACCGATAACCACGATCAGGAAGATTAATAACAGTGCTCATTGATTTTCTATCAGAATTAAACGTGTACACACGAACAAATGCTTTTTCAGGAATACGCTCACGAATTTTATGATAACTTCGTCCCAATCCTTCAACGAAACCAAGAAGCGCACACTCAGTTTTGTTTCCTACTTGAGTTGCTAAATCTTGAGGGTTCTGTCCAGACTATTAAAAATCAGAAAGATTTAATATAATAACAATCATAATTTAAGAAATGTTTGCTTACCAGAAGCTGAGAAGTGTAAGCTGAATTGACAGCGATTCCTTCTACTATTTTAATTCCAACTTCAGCAGGTAAGTCCGAAAATTTTGGTGTAACTTTCATTAATTTTTCACAAATGTAGGACTGAACAACAGTCATTCTATTTGTGGTCAATGTCCCAGTTTTATCACTACAAATAGCAGTTGCATTTCCCATTGTTTCACAAGCATCCAAATGACGAACAAGGTTGTTATCACGCATCATCTTTTTAACGGAGTAAGCCAAAGATAATGTCACCGCTAAAGGTAAACCTTCAGGAACAGCAACAACCAAAACTGTCACACCAATAATAAAATGCTTAACTAAATCATTGAAATAAGTACTCTTCCATGGGTTATGTTCTAGGACAAATTTCTTTATACAAAATTGAATCACTAATATCGCAACTGTCAAAACTGCAATGGTCGAACCAGCGTAGCCAATTTGTATAGCTAATTTCGTAAGTTTTGCTTGCAAAACACTTTTTTCCTTTTTATGACTACTTCCAATTTCTTCTTTTGTGGGACTTCCACTTCGCTCTGTTGTTGCATTATTTTTATCGTAATATTGCCCATAAGTTCCTTCCAAATCATTACCAGCTCCATTTCCATCGTGTTGGCTTACATGACTGTTGCTGGTTATTGGCCCAACATCTCCTGAAATGAGGAATTATTTGAATTTAAGTTTTCTACTAAATTTTAATAAGGAATAGCATAAATTAAATATTTAGTTATTACAAACGCTTATTTTAATATTCTGATATTTTTCAGGGATTATAGTTTAATTGAAGGAAGATAGAATAAATATATTGACATAAGTAGATACCTATTGTAAAGATAATATTATTAAATTTTAAATTGGGATAATACTTATAAGTGTATAATTCAACTAAAATATTTTTCTCATATCAATGCCTAACGTTTGTTTTGATAATTTAATTATTTTCGTAATAATTTTACGCATTTTGCAAAAGTATGAATCTTGAACATAAATAAATATTTCCCTATGTAGTTTTTGCTTTCTCAGTTTTGGAGAACTTCAAAAAAATATTGAATAGTAGCGCAAAATCTTCATTTAAAATGTTAGCTCAAACATAAAGGAATTATTGAGAAGTTAAACTGTACTCGATGAATGTTTTGATAAATTATGAATTAGAAATCATTTTAATGCAGGTTCAGAAATTATTATGTTCAAATTAATCTACATTGTGTAAATCTTCTCCTAACCGAACAATTGAATAATGAAAAATATTAAATTAAAAAAAGTAGATTAAAGAAAAGCACAACTCAAACTAAAGACTTATACAATGTTGTGTAAACTTTTTTGCAAATTTAAAATTAATTTCTATTCTGTTTCAAGCAGATATTATTCGACTCCACTACTTCCAACAATAATTGTCATTTCTCAAAACTTAACCCGTAACAAAACCATAAAATATGCGAAAACTAGAAGTAGAATATCTAATTAGGTATTTTAAATAAATTTAATTATAAAAAAAAAACTTCGACTTCTTCCAATACTTTTCATATCTTAATTTATGCAGGCTTAGAAGCAAAATAAAAAATAGTTTTGCAAAATTTTAGCTCAACATGCTTAAATTTTTAAAGAGCAAAAGCATATCTTGGATACTTTTAAGGTCTTTTTAAATGTGTCACAAAAACACATAGCAAAATAAAGTGTTTCTCATAGAATTCTTGATATTTCTATATGATATTTAAATAGTTGAACCGGAAGAAGTTATAATTAATAATTTGCATGAAAATGTACAATTATCAAAGTTTCTAGTAATTGAAAATTATTCTTTAGTCTTTTATTCGCTTTAAAGGTGCGCATAATAAACAATAATAGGTAAATTGAGGACATACGAGCATAGCTTATTTTTTTAATTTTTAAAATGTGTTTGAATCTTATGTAGATATAAGAATCTATGTTTTGGAATCGATTTTTTATAATGAGAAGGTTATAAAATGCAAACATTTTAAATTCCATATTTCCTCATAATTTAAAATTCATATCTACAAAATCGAGGCTACATAGATTGCTATAATCACTTGAGCCCAATTGATTAAATAATTCCCAATAATCTCATGGTAGTTTTTTTAATCTATAATCACCTGTCAAACTCTTCTTCTTCTTCTGTTTTTTAGCTTCTGCGAATTATCCGTCGAAATATTTGTTTTCGAATTGGAAATGTATGATAACATATCATGATGAGTTGTATCAGGATGGATTTGATGATGTTGTACCAATATATTTTTCATATTTGAAATTGTCAGTTAGAGTTGATAAATTTTGAGAAAAATCATGCAAATAAAAAAAATAGAATTAATAAATTTGTCAAAAAAATTTTAACACTAAACAAATAAATACATAAATGGATAGAAAATAATTCTTAGACTTCCAACATGAAGGCTTCAACTCCATGCTTATGATTTAATATTATATGAAATAAGAAGGAAGACTACACAAAGCTTTTGCAATATCTCTTTCCGTAAATAGTCAGCTTGAAGATTATGAAATTAAACATCTAATTAATGCACGAAAAATTAGAAATACGTAATGATATTTCATTTGTACTCTTGATTAATTCAGTCTAAAAAAGTAAATAGGTAAATAAACTTAAATCTAAAAGAAAAGTTAATTACTTTTGCTTCAGAACAAAGCATATCACAAGTTTGTAAGAGTGTCTTTAAACTATGACAATATTTTAAAAGTAAAATACTTCAAAATATATTAATGAAAAAGTTTTTGGATGCGAATTTTCTTTATATATGAATGAACTACATACAATATGGCTGATGTTATAGTAGTAGTATAAGGGTTGAAGATACTATTTTGTAGAGAAGACTTAATCAAAAGAGTTTTCAAGGAAATTGAAAACTTAATTTCTGTCATTTTTTCTTGATATTGTTCCTGTTATCGTGATATGGGCTATAACATTATTTCAGAAATATTGTTCACAACTGGGTAAGATATTTTGAATATTCATAAACGAGATTTCAGACTTTGCCTCCTTTATTAATACACATGAATAGATCATAAGTAGTCTTCAGTTAACTGCTAATGTTTTCAGTTGTTCCAAATTCATTTTCCCTGACTAATTAAAACACGTTTTTAATAATCAGAATCTAAGACTACTGAAAGAGTCAATCTATATTTGTTTTCTATCAATATGAGGTTTATGTATTCTAAGAAGTGGTCAGAGGAGTGTAAATTATGAAAGAAACAAGTCAATTTGAAATGCTTAATAATTTTAATTTGTTTCCTTTTAAAATCTTGAAAAT